TTGCAAGCTGACAGGAAAACAATATCAGGAACCGAGTAGGATTGTTCAATTTTCTATCCCGCGCCTGATAGCAAACTCCCTTAATCTTGTTAACCACAATTGATATGCAAGGGTAATTGTTTTTATCACTCAATCTACCAATCTCCTGGTGCATATGGTTTGCATCTGCTAGACGCAGACTCCTTATTATCATATACTTCAAAACTCCTATTTTTACTTTTTATGTATGGTTCGATAAGATATTAATAAGAAAACCCATGTGATTAAGTCTCCTAGATACACCTCTACCTAACTTATTACCTTCATTGCTCACTAGTACATCCGATAAAGGCAATTTATTTTCCTCTTGCATCTTTTCTATTTATTAGTTCAAGGAATTCCCTCAAACTATTTGTGCAGAAGTATCACACCTCACAGGACATGAACATTGCATACACACAATAGACAATGGCACAAGTGCAAACATGATTCAGCATTGGGCGATCGTACGCTATTTTGTGTGTGATGAAATAGCTGCCACCGAATGCATTACCATTTCGCAAAGTAAACTTCACTCATTTGCAAGCATGTAGAGTAAGGTTGAAGTAGCCAACCAAATCATGGGGCGCCTCATTAAGATCGCGATCTTGGGTCTATAAAAAAGCGACTAGGCTTGCAGCCAGCCACCTTTTCTTTTGGTTTAGTATATTTTTGCTTTATTTCGTAAAGTATGAAAGCTTCCTTAAGGAATTCTTCGAAACCCAGTTTTTACTCAGGAAAACGGAATTACCTGAGTAATGAGCAATGTTATTGTTTAATGCAATAAAATTGTTTCTTTTTTATCCGCTATATTGATATTTCATTATAGCGAAATAACCTAATCAGTCCCAAAAGTTTCATTATAGCGAAATTCGACCTGTATCACTTTTTGGCTTTGATCATCTTGACCATCCAGGTGTATGCATGTGCATGTGGGCTTTATTAAATGTGCTTAATCAAATGTAACGTAGAGACTAGCGTTATCGGCGCCAAACGGCACCGAATCATGCCAGTGTGTCTTCTTGCCTGACGAAGGTTGAGGGTGGAAGTGGAGTCACATATTGTTATGGCCATGATGGACCAGTGGCAATCTGTTTCAGCGTCTGTATGACGGGGAGTATGGGAGGCTGAAGACAGGCCGAGAAGTGGGGACAGGTGTAAGTGAAGAGGCGGAAAAGGACCAAGTTGGCTGGCACATGATGGCAACCTCGGAAGAGAGCTGCCTTCTGATGAAGCGGTTGGTATCTGACTTCACACCCTTTGACTTCTTCGTCTTCAGATTGGCTCAGAGTGCGTCTCCAAGCTAAATAAAGTTACATATCCAATGCACATACAAACGTATGCACAAATGTGCCACCGAAACCATTCGCAAACGGCCACCTGAGAATTGGCACTCACATTTCAATTCACATGCAGTGCCCTGACTCAGAGGTTGTAGGCACCCGTTTTTTCTGCTGCTCCTGCTACTGCTGTTGCTGCCTTCTCGTGCTGGTAGGCGAGCCCTTCAAGGTGTGCACGTGCCTACGACTTTGCTGCTGGATGCCACACCACTAGAATGGGCTCTGGTCGATGAGGGAAGGTGAGATGAGTTGGAATGTCGTGGGGTAGAGCAGGTTGGGGTCGGCTCAATCGGCTACACACGACTTTACGCCAAACGCCACGCTAGAGTGTATTCTCTCCGGGCTGGTTTTCTGCTTGCGTATGTCTGTGTGTGTGTGTCTGTGTGTGTGTGTGTGCGTTGTCTTTTTTTGATGTTCTTAATTACTTAACTTGCCAAAATCAGGAGCTTCAAGACTCACTGACTCTACGGGCGGGCGTCCAAGTGCATGACATTGTGCTCATTTTCTTGTCCACGTTTGTGTCAGTATGTTTGTGCGTGTGTGTGTGTTTGTGTGTGTGCGTACACAAAGACAGTGGCGCTTTGCGCCCAACGCAAAAAAGGCTTCCACATAGCGGCGTTGATGCAGAGGTGAAAGCGAGTAGCTACTACACTCCTGCTGCTAGGGCCGGTATGGCACCGAATGTTCTTGCATTCTGCCGAGGCTATGATTCATGGTCGCTATGGGACAACGCTAAAAACGGCCCTATTTGCACAGCCTCGCTGGCTCACAACACACACGAGGCTGGCCACGGTCACGAGGCAGAGTTGTTTGTATTCATGAGACGATCGCTTGTTCGAAGACCGTCGGGCCGGTTCCCTCTGGTCTGTGTCCACTTGTTGACCGCTCCCTGGGCTGGTTGTCGAGGCGAGAGGAGAGTTGGTTGGGCGTCTCTGATCTACCCATTAATAGGTACCAACAAGCCGGCTTGGCAAGGCCTCGGTTGGGTCGGTTGGCAAGCCAGCTACACTTGTTCCCCGGCCGACGACGGACGAGGCGTCTGCGAGGCAGCAAACTGTGTTAGCTGCTGCTTTGAGTCTGTACTGGTGTCTGGTGCCGAGCATGGTCGGCTGGGTCAGCTCAGAAGTTAGGGTCTCAGCCAGATAATGGCTCGGACTTTGTCGGCTTTCTTTTCAATTTCGAGTGAAAGTGTGCGATAAAGCGATTTGATGCTCTTTTATATTGTAGGCATAAAGGACAAGCTGGTGGGACCTGTTTAGTCGCCATACCCTTTAAACTCGTTTTAACAACTTGGTCGGAGCGACAGGAAGATTGTAAAACGTACCTAGTCCTGCGACCTCTGTAATAGTATTCATGATGTCCAGCATCGAACCATCGACTTGGTACATTCTCAGACGTTTCGCCGGCATCGTAGTCGGCATCGTCAGCACAGAGTTACAACTTATCATGTTCACGGTCAAAAATGAAAGGTCCTGTAGCAGGGAACAACACCATGCATACTCTTAATTCAGCCCATCTAACGCCATGTATAGATAGAATTGAGTATTGTCTTGTTCTTTTTGTATATATTTATATATATATATATGTGTGTGTGTGTGTGTGTGTGTGCATATTGAGACAAATGAATTTAGATTACCAGTTGCGTGTAGTCAGAAGAGAGCAGAAATTCTTAGGATATGAAGAAAAGTTGGTCTCGAGGATTCTCTTGCTAGGATGATGTTGATGTAGCTTTGAGTACGTCTGAAGAGGCGAGTGGAAGGAGTTGTGCCAAGGACTTATTCGAGCAAATCTGCAGCCAATTTATATGAACAACAGAAAATTCTTATATCCAATTTTAGTTGATGCGATGAGGGACTAGTGGTTGCATTTTTTCACAATCATATAAGTCCAAACCCCACTTATAAAGGAAAAATAGCAGTAAAATCTGCCATGATGTCATCAAGGAGACTCTTTTGTGAGCAACGGAATTGTAAATAGGGTCGCTTTGCTATAGGATGAGACCCCCTCATGGATTTTGGGAGTGGTTAATTGAAGTTCCCACCGCCAAAACTATCGGTCAGTAGCGGTGAGCAAATCTGGGCCTTCAAGCCCCTCAAACGGACATGTCGGTTACCAAGACCAGTCTTACCTCCATTTTACTTCCCCTCGCCCGGCAATAGCGCTAGGCTCGGATTGACGGAAGCTGCTACAGGTTGGCCCTTAAAGAATGAGCCATCATCGATTAGCGGGCGATAAGGTAAAAATGTTGCCAAAGCAATTGCACATATCGCACACATATCGCGCTGCTGGTACTCTCCCGTCCCACCAACTGGGTAAACACACAAAAAGAAAGTGTCATTAAAACTGGCCTGAAAGTACTTCATACGTAGCCTCTATCTCACTCATAGACATAGTAGCAGTGCTTGCTTTGCTTTTTTACAGAAAATGAATAGGACAGTTATTCTTATGACCTTACTGGTCTGCCTCTGTGCCAATTTGTCTGGTAAAATGAGTCAAGGGACAAATAATCGATCTCGCAGAAACAGTAACTGATCACATCTTAGCAAGGCAAATTGACTTTTAGACACTCTTTTTATACCTACGCCTAGAGATGAAGTGTTTGTCGGAAGTAAAGTGGTTAGAACCACTAATATTGATGTTCTTTGAGGGCATTATGCAGTTGGCGCCTGCCGAAAACTTGACTTCGGGCCTGAGTATCCCCTTGGAGATGCCTATCAATCTGCCCTTGCTTTATAGAAAAAATGGAACATTCGATCCCTGTAGATCCGTTTTCCTTACAAGCATGATCGCCTGCTCTAGCTATGACCGTGATGACTTGCCGAAGATGAGGGAATATTGCAGTTTCAAGACTCATTTCGTGCGAAAATGCCCAATGAAAGGATTCCTAGTTCGATATTATCAGAAAACGATGAATATTTCTCGTTTCTTTACCGTTTTTTGACCAACTAGAGTTGCTTACGGGCTTACATAGTCACGTTCAGGGATGTTTCTTGGTTCATTAAGTCTTGACGACCCAAGCCTGACATTAGGCTTTTGCACTCACTCGGCTATATGACCGATATTGCGTATAGACGTAAGCAACCAGACGCACAAACATACAGACTCAAGTAAAAGTTACATGATCAATATGACCATTCTATATCTCTCTATGTATAAACATTTTCGTTTTTTAATTAGGAGTATGTATATATATGACGTAAAATAGAGCCGGACGGTCTTATCGACTCAGAGTTAATTTGAGATTTTTACGGGAGTGAGTTTCAGCTCTGATGATTTACATCATATGATGGAGGAAATCTTAGCCCGGTTTCATCCGAAACGAGCGAGAATATCTCGTGGACTGCTTTAACATGAACGTCGTATTAAAACCAAACGTCTGCAGAACAAAGGGTATCGGCCATCGCCTTCAGTTGAGACCAACAAACGAACCTCTTCCCCATGAACTTGCATACGAAATGAAAATCTCCTTAACAAGTTTAATACTTTCTATTCCTTTTAAATACGAAGAAAAGTTGGGCGGCTAAAGCCCTGCTTGATTTGCATTTGATGAGTTCATTTTTATACCAGGTGAAAGTGATGAAAAGATTAGGCCGAAGAAAAGTTGGGTTTTGAGGAATCTCTTGTTTCATAATTGTTGAGCTTACTTCCATTTCGAATGAAAGTGTTGGTGAAGAGATTCGAAGGTCGGTTCCGCCAGAAGACGACGGCGGATTCCTCTCGGCCAGCTGTCGATTGGCTTTACTGGAAGCTTCATGCTGACGCTGTTTCCGAGGCAATCTTCTTCGATTCCGGTGACGGACATCATCAGAGCGAGGTATCATCGTCACAACAAAATTCAAGCCGATCCCACCAGAATACGATGACGAGTTCCTCTTGTCGATTGGCTATAATGGAATATTCTGGTTGATGCTGTTCACGAGACAATCTCCATTACCTTCAGTGAGAACATGCTAGGCTATCGTCTTTAATGCTAGCATCCATGTGAGAATAAAAGACAGTAAACCATTTTATTCGAATCCTCATGTCAAATTGTGTGTTTAACAAAGATTGGGCTAAGTTGAGAATGAATGCAAATGATGTTTGTCGCTCCTTTATCACCTCAACTGTCTACGCGTGCATGTGCGTTTCGCTAGGCCCTCAGTGCATATTCTTTCTAAACATTTTGTCGAATATTGGTTTCTCTGAGAGACAAGCCTTTTGACTAATTAGCGTGGTTAAACAATGAAGGCTGTAAAAATTGCGATACATGTCAAACTTTAGAACGGCATTTCCGGCAAATGAGCAAACTCATTCATTATTACTGGCATAATTACTTTTTTCGTCTCAGACCCTTGGTATCAGCACGGTGACATTGAAAACCACTTTGCTGGCCTGCAAGTTCCACTCATCTTGAGGGCCATAACAATGGAAAATTACCCAAATA